TTCTTCTTTTTTTCTTTTACGATTTGTAATTTTTTTTCTGGCTTCGCCTCCCGTCTTCGGGCCTGGCGGCCCCTGGAGCTTGCCTTGTTTTTTTTCTTGTTTGATTTTCCATGTTGAGATACCATGATGTTGTTGAGATACCCGGAACCATTGGGCGGAGTTTTGTAGAATTCATTACGATCATGACCATAACCATGCTGTGTGCTTTGTTTCCTGCGTGATGCCATCGCTGCCATATCTGTGCCTGGATGATTCGATGGAATCCAGTCTGTCTGGCCTCGACGATTGGAATATTCCGAGTTTTAACTCGATGCACTTCAGACAGGTCGTCCTCGTCGGCATCGTGTTTGGTGTGCTAGGTCCCATTTCCCTCGGCCTTTGATGTGCAAGAAGTGCACTCGGACGCTGGATAATGCTGGACACCAAGGACCCGCTGTCAGACATGATCATCAACATCAAGAACGCGGGTCTGCTGTCGCTACGGATTTGGCGCCAGGTGCTCGGCTTGTCCGAGTGCAAGGTCGCTACCAACCTGTCCGGAAGCCTCTTCCACCCTTCGTGCCGCAGCCACGACGCCATCAAGGCTACACTCAAGCATCACTCCGAGAACGAACTCGCGATGCAGTCGCAGTTCGCCGGGCATGTCAAGAAGGTTTTGGAGGAGCTCGGAGGATCGCAAGCAGCGGCCTTGGTCCACTTATACCGTGCGACCCCCGAGCAGCATGGCCAGTGTTCAAAGGAGGGAGCCTCGGACGACCTGCGAGCCGTGTGGTTCGAACCGTTCGAACCAGAGATGGACGGCGCTTTGTCTCCGCGTGTGCTGTCCACTCTCCGACCTCTGGCGGATGACGTCCACCTAGGGCCCATGATTTGCAGGAGGAGTTCCCGGGCAATGCAGGGATCCTTGGTCCGACGCGAAACGGCTTCCGAGGCGCGGCGTCAAACGGAACACTGTGGTTCGTGAGCTGTTGCTGCCACCCGCCATTCTCTGGTTCCCAATCAATCTCAAACACCTCGCCGGCGGGGCGCAGCACGCACTGCGTCTCGACATTGGCCCTACTGGCTCCATTTCCGCGCTGGAACTGTCCCCCTCTATCTGCCAATTCCCCGAAGCCCGCCAGCATAGATGCGGTTTGTTACGTATTTTAGTTCAAATGTGTATACACATATATATATATAAGCAAAAGGAAGTGCTTTGTGGCAAGACAGTGAATGCTTTGGTATCCCCGTGGTGCTCAACCTTTTCCGTGACAAGCTCAAGCCTGGCCGGTGAAGCAACCCCGTCCCAGGATCTGCCCACACCCCCGCCTGCGACAGGGTGATCGCCTCTCGCCTAACCCAATCAGGTCAACGGGTTGCAACCATGATTGGCGTGCCTGGCACAACATCAGACGCATTGTTCCCGCTTGGGACGCCCATGGTTGGCGGCGGCGGTAGCATGCCGCTAGAAGGTAGCCCAGTTGTTCCTTTGTTCCCCATAAAGCAGTGGAGTCGAGCGGCCAGTGTTTCTACTTTGGCCCTCCGTCTTTTCTTCCAAAAAAAAAAAAAAAAAACAAGGATACCCCTGTGAGCGATCCAAAAGAGGCACGAATCCCGTCGTCGAAGCTCCCCGAAACGACGCGCGCCTGGTGCGCTGTCGGATGGCATGGTGTCACGCGACAGGAAGCTCATGAATGGGGCCGGCGGAGTTCGGGCGGCATGTCCAGGCGAGACTGCCAGGAGTGCTTGTTGTCGCTTGCGGGAGGCTTGTAGTATCTTGTTTCCTCCTGTGGGTATAAGAAGGCGGTCTTGGCTCCCCTAGATTTTCTGTCTTGCTCTCCATCCAACCATCCGTTCTTTTACCAACCGTCTTCCATTCTTTTCAGTGACCTGGTGTCCGATCTCTTTCGTGCATTTCCACCTGCCCCTGTTGCATTAGTACACATATTATACCACCGTCGCCACAACCACCAGGCCAAGCATCCAGATCCCACAACCGCCAAAATGGTTCGCATCAGCTTCATCGCCGTCCTTACCAGTAAGCCCACTCTATCCTCCCCATCCCTTGGCAGGACCCCTCCCCGTTCGGGCATATAGTCGGCTGACCTCGTCGCCCGACCACAAGTGGCCGTCTCGGTCATGGCCGTCGTGACGCCCAACAACGCCGGCGCCAAGAGCGTCGGCGCGGGCAAGGGGGCGCAGTTCATCACGGGCGGCTGCGTCAACAACGCCGACTGCCAGTCCACCTGCTGCGCCGGCAACGGCGCGGGCAAGGGCGTCTGCTCCGCCGCGGTTGCCGCCAACCAGGCCGGCAAGACGGGCTGCGGCTTCGCCGATCCCAACGCCGCCCAGACCATCGCGGCCGCAAAGGCCCAGGTCAAGAAGCAGGGTTTCTAAGCCTGCACTCTTTCTCCCCGTCACCGTTTGAGCATGGGTTTTTGGCGTTGGGTGCTGTTCGGATAGTGTGTATAGTCGTGTTTATCTAGTAGACGCCGTCTCTCTTTCACGGGACTTGCAATGGAAACTACGCCCCGGGTCGGAACTGCCAAACGTACTTGCCATGATAAACATGGGCCAACGCTGATCCTGTAATTATAAGGAACATAATTTTTCAATCAACGAGGTTCAGTTCGCCGCAAGGTTCGTCGTGGCTGTCACTTGATCCAAAGTATCCCACGTCGTTTACGTACGGCACGTTCTGGTAAAGGGAGCTCCCTCACGCGGCCAACCAGTCTGGTCCGGCTTTGCTCGGGGGTGGTCGATTACACCTGGCCTGCCTTGCTCTCCTTCGCCGTCTTTTTACCGTTCTGCGCCGTCTGCTCACTTTTTTGGGCCGCCTCCTCATCCTTCTTTACCTGCTTCCGCTCGCCAATGGTCATCGAGCCCACGCCACACACAACCAAAGCGCAGATGGTATTAATTGCCCTAAAATGATGTGTCCGTGTTAGTATTTTTTTTGTTTGCTTTATTTGCGGGCTACGTACTGCCTGCAATCTTTAAAGGGCACGAAAGAGGGTGAGAGAAGGAAGTCTTGCCCAGGGGTCAGCCAATGAGCAAAGGGTAAAATCAACTTACAGGTCCAGCGCGGCGCCGACAATAACGCCGATACCGTACTGCCGGTTTCGGACCAGCTTCCAGAGATTCGGGTCGGCATCTACGGGGACGAGGGACAGGTCCACGTTGCGCGGGACAGACCATTCGTCGGCGGTTTTGAGCGCTTGCTGCCATCGGACGCACACAAGGGCCAACGCGACGACGGAGAGGACGAAGGAGCTGCCGGTGCATACAATCCCCACAATCCGGGACGGGAAAATGCTGCACATGGGGGCCAGAACCCAGGCGGTTATCAGGATCTAGAGGTAGTGCGTATCATTAGTCGTTTGGAGCTTGGAAGGAGTGAACGCGGAGCCAAGGGGAATAAGGCAGTAAGGAGGTGGGTGAGTTACTTACGCTGCTGAGAAATAGGGCCACGGCTTGCTTGAACTCGGGGACCGGGATATCGGAGCATAGGAGGATGATGGTGTAGATGAAGCCGAAGGTCGGGATTATGCCACATCTCTTCCTGATGGAAAGCAAGAAGCTTGGGAGAATCTTGTAGTCTTCGCGATCCATTGTGCAAGTTCGACAGCCCTAAGACGAAAGCGTGTGGTGCGTGTGGATCGGAGTGGGAAGTCAGGAGTTTGGGTTAGAGTGAGTTGACTGTCAGCGGAAGCGTGAGGATGGAGTGAACAGTTGTGGCAGGAGTGAACGGCTTCGGGGCCGACGTATTTATGCCCAAAAACCTTTCTACACCATGGGCTGGGCTCGATTGTTTAAGGGAAAGGCACTTAATGGAAGGAAGGAGCGGGTCGTTTTTTTGTTGAACTAGGCTTGTTTTCCTTGTTTCATACTGGCTATGTGGCGTGGTTTCTTGACAAACGGCTTGGTTTTCTTTGTTTGTACTGGCCATGTTTTGTGGTTTTAGCGTAGGGCGGACTTGGTGTTGTTAGCCAGAAAGCGGCGAGTGCAGATTTTGTCTAATATTCTTTGTCGCCTCGCCGTTCTGTATTGCGCTCAACAAAAAGAAACATCACGCAAAAGTAGGAAAGGCGCTCCGCTACATCGGTAGATCGGATGCAGCAAAAGGAGTTGCTTTCTGTGCCACCACTTTCTCGGATCGTAGGGAGACCCCAAGACGCGTGGGTCGCACGGAAAGCTCTACAGCCTTTGGGCCGTGTCCGCGTTCTTGCAGACATGGAACGAAGTTTAGCAAATCTTGGATTCCATCAGGTCCGCCAAAAAGGGCGTGATGGCTGCTCTCCTACATGTAGCATTGCTCGGCAGGGACCGCTTGCAGGCAGACCGGCTTGGCTGGCTCATGGGCAATCTGGGCTTGGAGGCTGCCCCGCTGGACGAACCTATGGAGACATCGCTTCCAGAAGATCACGGGCTCCTCCATCCACCGATCGAGACCAGCGATCCATTGCTTCACGGGTCATTCAGCGCGGATATGCTGGGGTGTATGGTCTGCGAGAGCCTCACCACGCGGCCCTGTAGCCTGTGTGGTCGAGACTACTACTGCAGCGAGCGATGCCAGGAAAAGATGGGGTGCTATGGTTGGTCGGTTCAACAGAAACCTGTCGGGGCCGGGCGGCCAGGGCGCCCGGGTCTGCTCGTTTCTTTTCGTACCCCCGTGGCGGACTACGGGTCGGACCCCCAGAGGGCGCCGGTCGTGCCTATGCACTTGGCGGGGTCGCGGGCATGGAGTCCAGTGGGCGGCGCCTATACCGGAGTGGGCAGGGCGGCAACCCGGCTGCCGGCCTCATGGGCCCTGTCCTCGTTGGAGACCCTGGATGCCTGGAACGGCCTCTCCGGGGCCACCCAGTGCTCGGTAGGGGAGCTACAACGCACCAGTATATAAAGGCCGAGGGTCTCCCACCCTCGCCACGCTCTTTACCTTGAGGAGGTGTGCTCAAAAGCTCCCGGCCCTTTTGAGTAAGGGAGTATTCTTATCCTTTCCGCCGGGCTTGATCTTGCTGCATCTCTGTCTTGTACTGTTGGGATTGCAATATTGTACTGTCGGGATTGTAATGTGCCAAAATCAGGCAGCGAGAGGTTTTAGTGTCCTGATATTGTCGCCGAGCATGCCGATCAAAGCGAGGGAGTCTATCGAAGCAGCTCCGCCACTCAATATTTATCACAGCAGGACTGACGGCCCGCCACAATTCCGTCTTCACGTCATGCCCAGAATCTGATCAGAAACTGACCACTATCACATGGGCTTCTATTTCACCCCTGCAGCGCTGCGAGATTGCCACAGCAAGCAGGTTCGCCGGCAGATAAAACCCGGTCATGCGCGCTCGGCTGCCAGTAGCCGAGAATGGCCTTGGCGATAGGATTTCAAGATTCGAAAGGGACGGGAGGAGCAATAATCGGCACTCGGAGTTGTTGTTGGGCGTTCGCATAAACTCCACGCTACTTTATGTGCGTGGCGTATCCAAGAAACTAGCGGATTTTATTGGCCAAACCATGCCCCGGCACTCGTTGCGGTAAGCCGGGGAGTGGATGGATGGGATTAGGCGGAATCTCGGGGGAGAGGCGGCGGCAGTCAGGAGAGGGTAGTCGACAGGGGCCGGCGAGGACGGGGATTGGTCCGCCAGCCTATCAGTTCTCCGCTATGGCAATCTACGGGCCATGACAATTAATACGGCATCAAGCTTTCCGGACAAGCAGCCTTCGGCAGAGCTTGCGGTGCTTGGTCTCTGTCTGGTGGCCTATGGTGTGGCATGCGGGAGCGCGAGGGAGTCAAACTGTTATAACTGGCAGTCTTTGCCCGCCGTTTACTCTCTTGCTGGCTGCCGCCTACCTGCCTGCTATACCGTCCAACAGATTTTTGATCAAGTCACCGGTCGTCGTGAATCTCCCGGACAGTAATACACATCCATCCGCACAAGCAGCCATCGCCCCAACCATGAAGAACTGGCTCGCCGCCCTGGCGCTCGCCGCCGCGCCGTCCGAGGCCGCGCTCCGGTTCGGCTGCTCGACAGTGAGCATCCAGCGGCTGGACCCCCTCGTCGAGCCGGGCCGGGTCCCGTCGTCGCACCTGCACCAGATCGTGGGCGGCAACGCCTTCAACGCCACCATGACGGGCGACATTGGCCAGCAGGGCACCTGCACCACCTGCACATTCAGCGAGGACTTCTCAAACTACTGGACTGCCGTCATGTTCTTCAAGCACCCGACCAACGGCACCTACAAGCGCGTGCCCATCATGCAGAACACGGCCCTGCCCAACGGCATCAACGGCGGTATGGTGTTCTGTGGGAGGGAATGTTGGAAGGGGGAAAGAGATGAGCTGACGTGGAACAGGCATGACGGTTTACTACACCCAGCAGGACTTTTCCAACAACGGCAGGACCAAGATGACGGCCTTTAAGCCGGTGAGTCGGGGGTTGTTGCGTGTCTGTTGAGTTGCAGATACTGACGTCGACAACAGGGCTTCAGGATGGTCGTCGGAAACCCAGGCGACACGGCCAACAAACAAAAGGGGCTCAAGTTTGTCTGCCTGCAGAACAAGGGCACCCGCTTCCCCGAGCTCAACGACTTTCCCAAGCAGCCCTGCCGAGGCGGCATCATGACCGTCCACCACTTTCCCGCGTGAGTCCCGGCCCTCTCTCTCTCTC